TTGCTGTTTGTTTCTTTTTGTTTAGGGCCCCCAAGGAGAGCCACGGAGACAGTCATACCCCTCTGTCTCCTCTTTCAAAGAAACAAACCCTCCTGCTGCTGCTTCTGCTGCTGCTGCTGCTGCACCTGCTGCTGCTGCAGCTGCTGCTGCAGCTGAGCGTGAGTCTGAAAGGGTACCGGGGGCCTTCCGCCGCGCAGGGGCCCCCCAAGGAGTTATAACAAACCCCCAGGGGGGCCCCTCCTGGGGGCCCCCTGGGGGCCCCCCCTCTGAGGGGAGAGGTACCCTGGGGGCCCCCCGCACAGGCGCTGTGTATAGCAGCAGCAACTTGTTATCTATGGGGCCCCTCGGGGGCCCCCCCGCTCTGCATAGCCGCCAAAGGGTACACTTGGGGGCCCCCAAGGAGGAGGAGACAGAGGAGACACCGCAAGAGACTCAGAGCAGCAGCAGCTGTGAAATACCTGCTGCTGCTGCACCTGCTGCGGCTGCTGCTGCACCTGATGCTGCTGCTGCAGCACCTGGTGCTGCTGCACCGGCTGCTGCCGGTGGTGCTGATTCTGCAGCTGCCAACGATGCTGCTGCTGCTACTGCCTGCTTGAACAGCAGCAGCAACAGCAGCAGCAGCAACAGCAGCAGCAGCGGCAGCACCAGCAGCAAAAGCAACTTTGCATGTTTACCTCCGCTAGAACTCTCTACAGGGGACAAAGGAGACACCAGCAGCAGCAGCAGCAACAGCAGCAGCAGCAACAGCAGCAGCAGCAACAGCAGCAGCAGAAAAACTCAGGGCAGCAACACCAGCAGCACTACGTCCCACAGCAGCAGCAACAAGAGCAGCAGCAGCAGCAGCAGCAACAGCAGCAGCAGCAGCAGCAGGATGCAGGAAGAGTGGAGATGCAGGAGCCGTCTGCTGGCGCTGCAGATAAACGATGCTCTGGGCGTTGAAGCTCCCTCAGGGGTATTTGCTGCTGCTGCTGCTGCTGCTGCTGCTGCAGCAGCAGCAGCAGCAGCAGCAGATGAATCTGCAGCAACAACTGAAGAAGAAAACGAAACAGAGGGAGAACTGCAGAGCAGTGCTACTCCTGGTATCACTCCTGCTGCTGCACCTGCTGCTGCTGCTGCTGCTGCTGCTGCTGCTGCTGCTGTTC